AACCGAAAAAGAAAACTGCATGCCTAAGACTGGCCCTGAGCCCTGCTGCTGACTTCCTCTGTACCAAAGCCCGAAGCAAATCACTTTGCCTTAATGGGCCCAGCTGTAAAATGGAGAAAATGGCCCTCAGTGGCCTGGTAGGGACCATAAACACAGAGAAGGCGTTAATTAATGACAAAGCACTTGTGATAACAAAGTACCACCACAATGCACATCAGCACACTGGACAGATAAGTGCGGTAAAGGCTTTGAAAACCCGTCTCCCCATGGACTGCTATAGAAGTTAGCAATTTTTCATGGAAGATTTGGGTCAAAAAGAAATTGACTGCCTTCAGGGCATCAAGCTTCAATAGAGAAACCAGTGTAGGATGTCCAGACCCAGCAGGGAGTTCCAAAGCTAAACCAACCCAGAGCTGCAAAGCAAATAGACATTTTAGCCACAGGATAAATGCACAAGGGCTCAAACTCCAATGATTCCCTGGAAAACACTGGCAGGAAAACAAAAACACCTTCCTAATGAGACCCTTGGTTATCATTTTTCTGTGCCTTCTGTAGACTAAAACCCTGAAACACAACTACAAATAGGACTTTTCCTTTGTGAAACCTTTCTCTTCTTGTATTTCCTCCACTAACTCATTGCTCACGTCTGCTTCTTGATGAAGGAAGCAGAGTATATTATTAAAACACAGTTTAGAGATGCTTGTGGCTGCCAGAAAGAGTGATAGAAACAAAATTTAATATGAATAAGCCTCTAGCATGTATGCCTCTCTCACTTTGAGATGCATTATTTTATTTAAATCTTCATAATGGGCTGGGCTCAGCCGCTCAGCCTGTCATCCCAGCACTTTGGGAGACCAAGGCGAGTGGATTGCCTGAGCCCACAGGTTCGAGACCAGCCCGGGCAACTTGGTGAGCCCTTGTCTCTACAATAAAATAAAAAACAGCCAGCTTGGTGAAAGGGTTTAGTCTTTTTGCTGCAGCATAACCATTAGAAAGCAGTTCAGACTGCTTTCTACTGCAGAACAAGCAGCCTATCCCATCCCATCCTCCCTCAGCAAATCTCCTTCAGAGGCAAGACCAGGACAGCCCAACCATTCACGGTTGAGCATGATAATCTCTAGTAAACTTTTAGGTTTCTTGTCAAGGCTGAAGATCAAAGGTCACCCTTTGGCTGGCCAAATCATAAAAGTAATCATATGACCACCCCACCTTTGGTCAAGGAATTTGTGAGTTACAAATGTCTGAGTTTGTGAATTGCAAATGTCTAACCAAGTCTCTTGCAGGATTCTCCCCCTCCAGGGTTAACCTAATCAGCCCTTTGTGGCCTAGGTGACTGGAACAAGCCCCACCATGGCAGCAATCATGTGACTAACCCACCCACCTGCCTGCTGTCCATCACCTGACGTCATCGGTACCTGTGCTTGTCTGCCCCTTTGTGATAATGTGGAAGCAGACCACCACCCAATCACCCTAATGATCTTCCCCCATCAAGGGGAACGGTTCAAAGGACTCAACCGCGAGCAACCAGCGGCCATCGCCTTGCGAGAGTCTGGTGTGGCCATGTGCTCTTTGAGCCATGGCTGTCACCATGCTTCCTGGCTTTGGCGCCTCCCCCACTTTGGGGAGGTGAATCTTCTTTCTCCCTTTTCTCTCTCTAACTTACTTTTAAATAAACTTCTCTTTCTCTTAACCTCTTTGTGTGTTGCAATTCTTTGCATTTACTCGGATCTCTGGGATACCGTGCTGCATGCCTCCCCTCTCCACCTCGCAGACCTCACCCTGTCAGTACCCTAACACATGGTAGAGCATGTCCGTAGTTCTGGCTACTCGGAAGGCTGAGGCAGAAGGATCGCCGGAGTCCAGCAGGTCGATGCTGGAGTGACCATGAGCGTGCGTGCCACTGCACTCCAGCCTGGGCAAAGGGGTGACACTCCAACTCAAAAAAAAAAAATCTTCACCATGACCTCATGAGATAGTTTTCACTATCCTCCCCTCATTTTTTTTAAACAATTGAGGAAACTATGGGCTGTAAGTAGTCTAACTAGCATCAGCAAAGAGACTCCTAGCCTCAGGCTGTTTTCACCAGGCCATGCTCAGTCCTAAGCCAAATGTAGCCAGTTCAAACATCTAGATAGGTAGACATTTTAAAATTGTAGTCACTTTCGTAAGTTATACACAGTGAAATTCACTCTTTTAGGTAGTGATAATTTAAACATTTAACTACCCTCACGATCAAAATACAGAATATTTGTATCACCTCCCCCCCAATTCCTTCCTGTTGCCCTTGTAATGAGCTCCTTCTCTTTCCTGGTGACAAATGATCTGCTCTCTGGTCCCATAATTCTGTTCCCCCAGAAAATGACACCTTAAAATTCCTGGCATTCATGAATTCAAAGAATGGCTGTGACTATACATCCGCCACTGCAGCAGGGGAACAGGTAGATGGTACTGGAAGTCAGAAAAACTTTTCAAGTCCCCTCTAGAGCACGTCCCACCCCAAGAAAACAGCAAACGAACTATAAGACATCCTCAGCTCTTCAGCTGGTGGAGAGGATCCAGGAAGCTCTCTGGGGGCAGGAGGGGCCTGGAGCATAAAGCAGGATCCCTGCTTTTGGTCAGTCTCAGCCACCTCCTCACCAGAAATTCCAAGGGGTCATTCTATGATAAGGCTTTATTACTTATTCAACCTTGACCTCGAGCTTTCTGGTTTTTTTAGCAAATATAGCTCTGCTTTCCCACAGCCAGAAAATGAAATCAGTAGCTGCTTATCAACTTATGGGTGAAGAATAACCCTTCTATTCCTGGGAAAGTCAGTCCACAGAGAGCCTGGAGTGCTCGGGGCTCAGTAGGTGAATTGAGAAGGTGAATTCTGAGAAGAATCTGAACACACAGACCTCGCTAAGCTTGCCCTAGTTTACTGCCATTCGATCCTACTCCCTTTGTCCTATCATGCTTCTCCACAACTGTCCACTCTTCATCAAGCCTAGACTTAAAAATATACAGGTTTCTCTGGATCTTCATTTCTGTAAGTTCCCAGGTCATGTAAAACTTATATTAAACAAATTTGTACATATTTCTTTTGTGGGTCTGTCTCTACAGGTGCCTCAGCCATGAACCCTTCCATGGGCGAGGGAACAATATTACTATTTCTCCTCTCCAGGAGAAAGGAAGGAGGAAGACTCCTGGTAGACACAGGCTCTGCAGAGCCATCCTGACCTCCAGCAGAGTCAATGACCTGGGGAGCCCATCACATACCTGGCATGGCTCCCATCACCCCTTCACAGAGGTCCCTCCGGGGAGTTCACTTTGGAGAGCTAGCACTGCCTTCAAAGACTCATCCCCAGAGCCCACAATTTCTTCTGCCCAGGGCTTCTATCCCCTTGCTTAGGTGGCATTTTCCTCCACACCAGAATATCTTTTCTAGCTGTCCACTTGCAGCAGGTGGTAGGTTTTGGACATTTCGACCCAGAGCACCGGAAGTCGGGCTTTTCTGGAGCATTCTGTCTGCACACCTGGATTCACAAAGGAGTTCCAATGCCTGTGTCTCAACACAGGGCCTACTGTGTTTGGGTCTGTGGGGATTCAGAGTGACAGTGGCTGCTTTCTCACGAGACCATTCAATTCAGACATAGGATCAAAGATCCACTTTCCAAGCAGTCCAGAAGGCAGTGGTTGAGCACACAAGGGTGAGCTCCATAAAGGCCGTGTTCCCACAGACAAGACATGAGGCCTCTGGGGCCACCCTGGGGTGTGTGTGTGGGGGGGTGGTAGGCACTCTCCCAACCCCCCTTCAAGGGTCCTGGCAAAGGCCAGGAAGGGGGCGTGGCCAATGTCTGCCATCAACCATAAGACTTGAAGGCCAAGCGGCATGTTCTTCCAGGCTCTCCATGCTTTTATTTCCTTTTCATAATCAGAACACCTAGGAATCTGGCCAAAGAATTCTGAAGCCTCAAGTCATGGGACTCAAATCAGGAAAACATTCCTAGGGCCATCAGGATGGAAGAAGAAAAGTGAGGAAGGGGTAGGGAGAGGAGAGAGGACAGAAGGGAGAAGGGAGTAGGGGGTGGGGAGCTAGATAGAACCACATTTAATTTGTAATACCTAGATCTCAGGCCAAGTATTAGTTGTTGTTTTTGCTGGTATAGTTATGAAAAGAGCATATTAAAGACATTCATTATGATCTGGTTTTGGTAAAAAAAAAAATTAATGAGATAAACACATATATTTGAAAGTTTCACTCTAATAAATAATGATATATTATAATATATGGATTCTAAACATATAATTAAATATCATATGTGGCACATATATGGTCTTACAATAACCACCTGTTTTATATATATGACATATATAATGTATGCTATATACAGTAATTCTATATTAGACTGCACATCCTAATTCAGCCATTGAATTGGAATGAAAATAGAACCAAATATGCCAAAGGGGTTTCTTGCTCTTCTACATTTTAAACTCCTTCTGCAAAAATTTTACATTATTTTGTAATCATATTCAAGAGTTATTAGTAACTTTTAAAAGTGTATATGGTTTGGCTGGACTCGGTGGCTCAGCCTGTAATCCCAGCGCTTTGGGAGGCTGAGGTGAGTGGACTGCCTGAGCCCGTGGGTTCGAGACTCGCCTGGGCAACTTGGTG